CATTTTATACTAGACCAGGCTGCCCAGGGCCCCATTCAATCTGGCCTTGAACACCTCCAGAGATGGGGCATCCACAACCTCACCAGGCAGCCTGTTGCTACATGCCCTTCTAAAAAGCCCGTCCCCAGCTTTCCTGTAGGCCCCCTTCAGGTACTGGAAGGCCACAATAAGGTCTCCTTGGAGCCTTCTCTTCTCCAGACTGAAGAGCCCCAGCTCTCAGCCTGTCCTTGTGGGGGATGTGCTCCAGCCCTCTCTTTGTGACCCTTCTCTGGACCCACTCAACAGCTCCATGTCCTTCTTATGTTGCATCACCTGTATCTGTGATAAATACCTGTATCTGTGATAAATGCCCAACCTGTATCTTTTCCTAAATGCCTGGGTTTTGTTTTCCTGCCATCATTCATGGGGTCAATGAACCTGACTGAGATCTGGAAAGGTGGCATGTTACATTTTTGCTGTGCTACTCTCAGGCAGCTGACAACATCAGAAGAAACTGTCACACAGGATCCCATAATAAATTTGTAGGTCAAGAACTTAATAGAATACACATTGGGCTTTTATAGCAAAGTCCTGAAACTTGATCCAAAATAATTTTGATTGATATATTGTTCACATAGATATGACAGCTTTAAACATCAGATTTTTAAGAAGAGGAGTTCCAACTCCTCTGCCACGAGCAGGGTTGTCTGCCAACTAGATCATACTGCCCAGGGTCCCATCCAGCCTGGCCTTCCAAACCTCCAGGGGTGGGGTATCCACCACTTCTCTGTGCAACCTGGGTCAGTTGGGTAAAGATGTTCTTACTAACATCTAACCTAAATTTCTACTCTTTTAGTTTAAAGCTATTCCCCCTTGTCCTATCACTATTACACCGTGTAAAAAGTCGATCACCTTCGTGCTTATAAGCTCCCTTCAAGTACTGGAATTAAACTTGATTTATATCCTAAGGAAAGGTAGCACTTAATTACTTAACGCTGAGATCCTACACCCTGCAGGCAGTATTTATACAATTATTTTACGTGAATCTTTCCATTGACTTCACTGGAATTTCTCACAAACAAACCCACACACGCTTTAGGGCTTATGAGCTGGGACCCAGCTGTAACAGTAAAGACGTTTTAATCAGTTCATGTGAGTTAGGGAAAGGCTAATCAGATCTAAATACTCTCCTATGACTTATGAATTGTCTCCATAGGAGGGTAAAGCACTATCCTTTGCTATTTAATTATACCCTGGACATCATTAACAAGCTCTTTTTATATAGTGTAATCATTGTTAGGTTGTTTTCATTGTGAGTAAGGAGTATTGGGAACAGAGTGTGTTCTATTCCCAAAGTACCATTGTGCACTATGCTGGTACTGAGGTCAGTGTGGGTTTGCAAATAGGTTTTAGAAATACGGTGTCTTTCTGCAAACTTTCTGTTTGCAGTTAGTCACAGTCCATTATGGTCTTCACAGAGACAAAACTCAGCAGTTCACATACATATTGTATGTCATATAATATGTGGTTTTATATAAATACCTACTCAGAGTTGTAAAAGTGAAATTTCTCAGTTTTGCCACACAGCTCATCTGCAAACCTAGTGGAAACACTGCTGCCTAGATCCAATTCAGAACCAGAAAGTACAAGTAAGTCTGCCCCTAAGGAACATGATAATGAAAAGGTCTGTTGTCCAAGTGGCAGCTGAAGGAATTGTAACATGGAGATTGATGCTGTCATAAAGTGAAAATTCCCAGCGCTAAAGCTTTCTGTCTGACCACTGGAAACTATGTAGTGTGAGCCATACTGTGGGGGCACTGTTTTACAGCATCACTGGTAATTTTTGTATGACAAGTTTCTGAAATTATTGAAATGATCTTCAGCTCTGAGCAGAGGTCGGATCTGATGACATCGGTGTTCCCTTCTTACCTCAGTTATTCTTTGATTCTGTGATTTGGTACTTACTACTTTTACCTTGGTGATATCAGGAAGCCTGTAAGTGAGGTAAAAAAAAAATAATAATAATAGATTCCTTAGTGTTCCTTATTTTGTTAGTTGTAGAAAATTAATTTCTGCATGTAGCACGCATACTCTAAGCTCTATACTCTAAGATAATGAAGTCCATTGCGTAGAAGACCCACTATCATGATTACACCTCGCTAGAAAATGTAATGCAGAATCAGCGTGCTGATCTTTGCTTTTCCTGATATGTTCTCTGTTTTGGCGTGCACGCTCTCTAAGATGTGTGCATGTGGCTGGCCTCAGTGCTTGAATAGGCAGACTGTTCTCTCCCACCCACAGCGCTCCTCTGACAGCTTCCAGAATGTGGTCTCCCTTACTGCAGCACTTGAGCCACGCTGCGTATGGGAACTGCACAGTGCTGGGTTTGTTGCAAGATTTGGCTGACCACCTGATGTCATTCATATCCCTTCTAGAAACTGCCCTGTTTTGGATCTTTACTTTACTTTTTGTATACTGTCATGTACAGCCCCATGCCATTTTGGCTTTATTATGATGGTTTTATTGTAGCAGCAGCAGACAGAATAATTAGGGACACAACTTTTGGCCTGAACCCACTGCAGGCTTTGTTTACTGTTATTGTCTCAATGCTCATTATCTCACATTGGTAAAGGACTTGATGTTGCCAAATCAGCAGTTAGTATTGTCATTGTAGCTTGCAGTGCTGTTATGATAGCTACTTGCATTTGGGGTTTTTTTTTCTGAGAATACACCTCATTTACTAATGTACTTTTAGTTAATGGGTTTCCCAGATTCTTTGATAGTACTGACAGCACAAATGGCCGAAGTTAGCCACCTGGAAGGAGCTAATGAATGTATTAATGAGGGAGTGCTGCTCTCCAAGGCTTGGTGTCACTCTGGGTAGATTCATGCACTCCATGCACCTCCATGCATGGTGGTGCCTGCCTTGAGGACTGGGGAGAAATTTGCAAACTTGGAGCACCTGTAGCCTTGTTCCCTCATAATACTTAAACTGCATCAGTGATTTGTGTTTTAAAGCTGTGGCTTTAGGGGAGTTCTACCTGTGCTGTTCTCCCGAGCCTAGCAAAGATGTGCTTGTGCAATAAGGAGTCATGGAAAGTCCAGTTTATCTTTAATGGAACAGGATGACAGTAGTGTGCTCCTTTGTAGGGGTGAATGTTCTTCTGCTGATATGATAAATATCTTCTAGCTGCCCCCACACAACACCTGCGTGGCAAGGGCAGATATTTTCCAATGCTCTGAGGAATTCTGTAACTATTTTTCAGATTGGAAAATGCCTGTGTCAGCAGTCCGGTCCAGAAAGAGGGAGGAAATTATTAATAATCTGTATCCCGACATCCATGCCACACACAGTGATTTTAATGAGTAATGGACTGGTAATGCATGTGCTGGCTTGTGGTAGTGAAATACCTTGGAACAAGTTCTAACTGCTAGTTAACGGGGCTGTAAAGTATCTGCTGACTGGTTTTGTTGTTTGGTTTTTTTTTTTAATATCTGAGGCAATGGGGATTGAGTGTTAGATATCTTCTGGCTTGCTGATTGGTTTTCCCAGCAGCTCACTGTGCTTTCTAGATGGAGAACGTAAACTCTGACTTTATTGGCTTGCATTGATTGCTTGCAGTTTCTTTAACTTCAGTAAAAGTTCTTTTTTTAATCACAGTTTGCTGTTATCTTAAAAATGAGGTGGATAATGAGCACTGAAAGAACTTGAGAACTTCCCTTTTATGCATTTATGGACTTTACAACTAAAGTAGAAGCAGGAACAGGTAACTGGGGAGGAGTATAGGGATGCTGCTGGGCTGTGTAGGGGTAGGGTCAGAAAGGCCAGGGCCCAGCTGAAACTGAACTTTGCAGGGGGCACAAAGAGGAATAAGAAAGGCTTCTACAGGTACATCAACTGGGAAAGGAAGGTCCAGGTGTGCATACCTTCCCTAGTGAGCAATACAGGTGGGCTAATAACAACAAGGAGAAGGCTGAGGTGTTTGACAACTTTTTTACCTCAGTCTTCACCACTGACTCCTCTACACACAGCCCTTGGGTGGATGGTTCTGAAGGTGGGAACTGGGGGGGAGCACTGCTCCTCCTGCTGTAAGCAAAGGTCAGGTTTGTGACTGCCTGTGGAACCTGAACATCCACAAGTCTGTGGGTCCTAATGAGACGCATTGCAGAGTCATGAGGGAGTTCACTGACATAGTCACCAAGCCACACTCGATGATATTTGAAGAGTTGTGGTGGTCAGGTGAAGCCCCTGGTGACTGGAAAAAAGGTGATTGAGCACCTGTTTTGAAGACAGATAGAATGGATGACCCAGGGAGCTGCTGACCTGTTAGCTTCACTTCTGCACCAGGGAAGAGCATGGAGCAGATTCTTGGGAATAAACGCTAAGGCACATGTAAGTTGGAAAGTATGGATTTGCTGAGTGGACTGTTCAACGGACAAGAAACTGGTTGCAAGATTGTACCCAGAGAGTGGTGGTGAATGGCTAAATGACTGGATGGAGATTGATGACAAGGGGTGTCCCTTAGGGATCAGTACTGGAGCGAGTGCTCTTAAATAACTTCATCAGCAACACCGGCAGTGAGATTGAGTGCACCCTCAGCAACTTTGACACCAAGCTGCGTGGTGCAGTTGACACAGCTGAGGGATGGTATGTCAGCCAGAGAGACCCAGACAGGCTCAAGCAGTGGGCCCAGGTGAACCTCCTGAGGTTCAATCAATCCAAGTATAAGGTCTTTCAGGGGTCACAGCAACCCCTGCTATCAGTACCGGCTGGGGGATGTAAGGATGGAGCATAGCCCTGCTGAGAAGGACCTGGGAGTAGTGGTGGATGGCAGGCTGACCATGAGTCGTTAATGTGCTCTCACAGCCCAGAATGCCAGCTGTACCCTGGACTGAATCAAAAGAAGCATGGCCAGTAGGGGAAGGGAGGTGATCCTGCCCCTCTGCTCTGTCCTGGTGAAGCCTCACCTGGAGGACTGCGTCCAGAGTGGAGTCCTCAGTACAGGAGAGACATAGACCTGTTGGAGTGTATCCAGAGGAGGGCCACAAAAATGATCCAAGGGATGGAACACCTCTCCTGTGAGGATGAGCTGAGAGAGCTGGGGCTGTTCACACACACCTCTGGACACACTTCAGCCTGGAAAAGAGAAGTCTCCAGGAGACCTGAGGGCGTCCTCTCAGTGTGTAAAGGGGGGGCTGTAAGAAAGACGGAGACAGACCCTTTAGCATGTTACGTTGTGATAGAGTAAGGGGAAATGGTTTCAAACTAAAAGAGGGGAGATTTAGATTGGATGTAAGGAATAAGGTTTTTTTATATTAAGGGTGATGAGATACTAAAACAGGTTGCCCAGAGAAGTGGTGGGTGCCCTGTCCCTGGAGACATTCAAGGTCAGGCTGGATGGGGCTTTGAGCAACCTGGTCTAGCTGTACGTGTCCCTGCTCACTGCAGGGGAGTTGGACCAGATGACTTTTGAAGGTCCCTTCCAACTCAATAATAGTATGATTCTAAAAATACTGAAGTTATATCTCCTGGCAGCTTAATGAAAATAAGCGTATCTTAACTGTGTCTTAACTATCAAACAATGAAAGCTGAAGTCATCTTTGTAGCAGTAATTGCTATCTGTGGTGCCTTTTTGTCTTCCTTTTCCTTCCCAGCAATGATGAAAAGCTATATAAGGTTCAAGAGAGGGGATGCTTTCTGCACTTAGTAAAGGTGTTAAGGTCCTGGGTTAATGCTGAGAATTAATTATTCCTTCTGTGCATTGAGCTAGTTCTGGTAGCAGCTGGAGAAGGTGGAGAGGCAAGGGTCTGTGGACTTGCTGTGTCTGATTGAGCCTTGGAAAGGAACTCGTACTGCAGGGTGAGGATTGAAACCACCCAGAGCAGCAAGAAGCACGAGCTGAAACATTTTACTGCTCTGGTTTCCTAGTTTGTTTTTCTGTATGATCTGACCACTGAAAACATAAATGAAAAAGGTGCCCAAATAAAAAAGTTGTAGCCTTTGTGGCTTTCAGGATCAGAGGAAGGGTTTCCTAATTATCTGTGCAAAAGAAGTTTCCCTAAAGTGGGGTAAGAGATGGAAGAACTCTGACTGACTGAAGAACACTGGCATGAACCACAGAGCATCTCTTTCCTTGTTTGAAAGCTGTCTCTTGTTTAAGAGTTAACACAGGAAAGAGAGCAGATATTTATAACATGCACCATGCAGTGGAGAAGGTCATTGATCCATCAGTTCTGGCCCTGAAAAGTTAGTAGCATCTCTGTTCAAACCACAGCATTACTTGCTTCTGAGAAGACTGACTTCCATAGAAGGGTATTTAAAATGATAGAAACAGGCTTGTATCGTTTGAGTGTTGTCCACTGTAGGAAATGTGATTCTGAAAGATAGAGCCACAATTTCATTTTTCAACATTCTTGCACTGTAATTCATGATGTTTGAAAATGCATTAGAGGGTATCAAAAATCGTTCCGTGGCGTGGCCATATGGCTGAGTAAGCACGGGTAAAATTGATAAGAAAATACCTTGGAGCGTTGAACTCTTATCTAGGAGCCAGCTGGGGAGCAAGGGAAACCTGCAAAGGAGAATGAATCCTTCTTCTTGATGTCTTTTGCTTTAGAGGTGTGGGAGATGTTTGTCATACAGCAGCTCGGTTTGGGGTCAGCCAAGCTGAGTTGTCTCCTGATAATATTTATTTCAGCTGAGGCAGCAGCTGGAATTGAAGTGCTTGAAACATGTTTTCCAGGTAGTTACTAATAGTAGGTGTTTGTAACTTCAGGAGCTTGCTCTTAGCTTGGGAGAGCATGGGTTAGTCAGCAGCGTGATGCTGCAGAGGGCTTGCCAGCAGCTTGGCTTAGCCTGCTGGGAAGATGAGGTGTTAAATACCAAGTGTGGTGCAGTAAACACCATCCAGCTTCTCAAGTGAAGACAGCAGACTTTCAGAAAACCCAGAAAATAAACAGAACCGTGGGAGGGCTGTGAGCAAAGGAGCTGTGCAACCACAATGCAAACTGGTCATGTAAAAAAGCAAGCAGCAGCAGACACGAGTATGTACCTGGAACTTGTGCAAAACTCCTGAGTCAAAGCTGCCTCTGCAAAGCAGTATAGGTGTTTTCAGTTTGGGTTAAAGGGTGGAGAAAGATGAACATGGGCTTTGATCAGTGGTGCCTTCGATCACATACGCAGCTTTTGGGTTTGGGATTTTTTATTTTTTATTTTTTTTTAATTTGAAAATTGATTTCAATTTCCCATGAATTTTTATTTTGGGTTATCCTTGTGTATCCACACTTCTTGGATGTGGCAAGTAAATGGTGAGAGAGCACTGGAAAAGGTTGCCCAGGGAGGTTGTGGAGTCTCCTATGGAGATGTTCAAGTCTGGATGCCTCCCTGTGTGACCTGTTGTAGGGTACCTGCTTTGGCAGGGGGGTTGGACTCCATGATCTCTTGAAGGCCCTTCCAAGCTCTGCAATTCTGTGCAAGCTCTCTGTAAAACATTGCTTTCTTTTGAAACAATTTAAAAGTGCTTGTGAGGGTAGGGGAACTTTGTTAATAGGATGCTTATTGTTCATTTGCTTTCTTTACGAGTTATGGACCTTTTATGGTGGGACTGCTCTTACGTTTCCTGTTACTGAGTTTTATTGACTATTTAAGTGTGGTTGGGCATTTTGAGGGCAGAGGCTCCCTTTAATTTGCTCTGTGGCAAAATGGCATACACACCACTGTATTCATATTTGGGAATGCTGAGTAGGATGCACAAAAGGAAAAATAGATTGATACACAGAAAAATAGCTCAGTGTGTAATGGTCATGTGAGATAGGCTTAAGAATCATGCATAAAAATCTCTTTATTAGAAAATATTTACACAATTGTGTATTCTGCCAATGAGTGCCTTGTGAAAAAAAATCTAATTCTTGCCCCAGGTTAACAGGACATTGAGTTGCTTTCTGTAGCAGATGGGCAGCTCTGTGTCATTCTCCTTATGGAGTTTAGGACCCTATTAAAATTGTTTTCAGCATCTTAGTTACTTGGCCAGGAATTGTCATTAAAATATACACTGTTTTTAAAGTTGCCACTCAGTTTTATGTGAAATTGTCCTTTTTTGGTTGTGAATGTGAGTGTTTTTAACAATTTTTTGCATACCTAGAGAAACTTCTGACCAAACCTCATCATATCACCGTTCCAGGGTGAACCTAGCTACTGTGGGATAGCCTTTTCACAACACAAAACAGTCGTGGTTTAGGGAAGGCAGCGCATCTGAGGATGTCAGGTACAGCAGACGTGGCTGGAAAGTGAGTCTTAGCTCTCTGCTTGTGTGCAGAATCAGCCATGGCTTTTGATGGTGCCCTTAACAAACTCCTTTTTTTGTCAAAAAAAATGTATTCTTCTGTATGAAAAAAACTTCTTAACTGGCAAACTATCGCCAGTTTTAGAAGCCTTCTGGAGTAAACAAGGCTCCACCTGCGTGCTTGTCTTCATGCCAGCAACAAAGGACAGTCTTCTGAAAGAAAAGTGTGAGCGGTTGCCAGTTCACATTTATTGCTGCTGTTTCTGGAATATATTTCTTACACAAGATCTGCCTCTAATTTCTTGAAAGTGTGGGTATGTGGGTGTATCTGTGTGATGGCACATGATGAGACAGAAGCATTTCAGCTGGGTGGTTGTAAAGGTTACAATGTATCTTTCTGTCAAATTACAGAGCTCATCTCTTTCTGTCCTTATTGCAGTTTTGCATCCTTGAATGTCCCTCTACTTCTTGAAAATGAAGACAATGATTGCATGCTGCTTTCTGCTGTTTGGGCACGTTCTGCTTTCCACTGTTGCTGTCATGGCAAAAGATCTCCCTGGAGGATATTTTACCCGAAAAAGGGATGTTAACTCTCAATCTCTACTAGGTAAGTTACAAAAAGCACAAAAAAAAACAGAGGAGTCGCCACCAGCACTTGAATCAATTTCAAGTATAAGGATAATAAAGATAAAAAGCACGAGCAGTTGGCCAAACCTTGGCTGAGTTAGTTTATAATAAAAAAGGAGATTGTCATTTTCAAGCAGGAATATGAGAGTTTGGTGATTTAGCAGCTCTGGAAAGAAGGCATTTACTTTTGGGATATTAGATTTATTTTATGTAGGTGCTGTGAAATAAGTATTTGCTACAAGATTCTTGTACTGGATAAAAAAAAGTTACTGAAATCAGTAGCTGTTGAAATGGGGCTTATTAAATTACTTTTCCTTTGCTCACTGTTTAGTTCAGTGAGAAAATCACAAACTCAGATTACAGACAGATAGCATGGCCTTAACTTTGGATAAGGCCTATCTTTATGGCTTCATGATGCACATTAGTAGTAGATCTCACTAAATATCTCCCTCTAGTCAGGAGATGGTAAGTGGTCTGCCTCCTTATGCCTTTCACTTAACCTAGGTAACAGAATCACAGGTAAACACGAGGAATGTGAAATGTCCAGGGAAGAAGGCAGAAGATGGGAGAATGTGTGACAGGGAGGAGAGCAGTAGGTTTTATCAGAGTTAAACTCTTCTTCATACAAAATGGGATCCTTTAAACAGGTAAAGATATGTGAAGTACCATTCACAATTTGGCATGACTTAGCTTAAAAACCAGAGGTTTTCAATTCCTGTAGAACAAATTTCAGTCAGATGACAGCAGGTTTCTGACTGTCTCAGAACTAATACATGTGGTCTTGGGACTCTTAGGGGTCTGCCACTGGGGGCTGAAAAGCACAGCTCTGAAGACACAGCCCTTCAGAAGGCACAGATGCGGAACAGCAAGAGAAACACCTCCATTCACAACTTATTCAGCAAGACTTAATCTTTCTAGGATCCTAAACTCTAAAATGAGATTAAATGACAGCCTTTCCTGAAACTTTCAGTCTTCAGCAAATATCCTGAATTAACTTATTATTTTAAGAAATAAATTACCTATTTCCCTAGAAAATGAATGCAATAGTAAGGTGCTGTGTAGAGAAAATAAAAGTATAATCTTTCTCACCTTGCTTTATTTTTTTCTGTGACTTTATAAAATTACTCCTATAGTCCCATTTTTATATTTTGAACTGTGGAAAAGAATGGAAAGAACTAGTACTTGCTATCAAATCAAAATGCATAGATTAAATTCTTTCTTCTTTTAAAAGTCAAGCAATTTTGTGGTCCCTACAAAAGTCTGGATCCCTATTCAGTTTGGCATATGCAGGATGCAAACAGTTCTGGCAAATCTTACTGAAAGAACTGTTTCTAGACATTAAATGATGCAAGAGACTGGGGACAGTCTCTGGTCCAGCTCGTAAAAGTACGTGGCAGTTTGGAATCAGACTCTTGGGCATTGCTTTCTGTTACAGTAAATTAGGTCACCTGCTTCAAATTCAGCAGTTGCGTATAAACAGTGGCATAGTCAAAACGTGCCTCTCTGCAAAGAACAGAATGTGTAAAATGTGTGCCACTGTGCTCAGAAGCTGCAGCGATCTTTAAATGACATGAGAGAGAACTGGGCCAAATCATGATCTCGGTGACATCAATTCTACTGACTGAATAAAATCACTGCAGACTTAAAGTAATTTAACAGGGATTAAAAGCTGTACCATCCTGTGTAATACGTATACAATAAATAGTGGCAATGACAATTGCTGCTGTTGTGGAAAGACTTGCTTAGCAGGCAAAAGTGAGCAATATAGCTGCACCGAACCAAGAGATGCATGGAAAAGCAATAAAAGTTCAGGAGTTTGGGATTTTTTTTTTGTTGGGTGGAGCTCTCTGCTTTTAGGACTAAAATGTGGGATTATGCCATTTGAGTATTAAGTAGCATCAGTATAATTTAATTCTTCTTCATTTTGTTTTAAGTTTTTAAAACTGAATATGCAGCTATGACTGGTATTTATTGGTAGAGTACGGGCAGTGGCTATGAACAGAAGTAAAAAATCCTGTGTGAGACTGACAATATGAATAAACAAAATGGAACAGACTAAAAATCCTGTGGGATTGTTCAGATACATGTACAGTTACTTCAGGATCAAGCTAAATTGGGATCGATCTGACTTTTGGCAGCCGTATGCTTCATAGATTCCTTAGTTATCTTAGGGCTAATAGGTTATGTTTTAAGGGAACTTTCAGAAGAATTGAGCTATGTCATTTCTGTGTTTGTCTTACTGTCTTTCTGCTAAGCCTCAGTGTGTGTTGTTCTCATTTTTCTAGATCTTTGCATGGGTTATCATTGTTTAAAATTATTACTGTAGCTAGTGATTTCCATTAAAATTTGATGTCTTGTTGTGTAGGCATCAATTGGACATCAGTAAAGCATTTGGAACTCAGTGTGGCTTTCGAAAGACAGTCTACTTTGGATAGGTTTGACTTTTCACACTTTGCTCTTTTAAAATCCTGAAGCAAATCCCTGGGTATTTAAAACTTGTCAACTGTGCTGATTTAATTAACTTTGTTAGTATTGTCATAAATCTTCCTTGCAGTGTGTTAGCTCTAGAATAAGTGTGATTGGTTCAGAGATAGAAAATGTGTGTGTATTTCTTGTATTCACAGAATTTACATTAAGTTGTTGGAAATTAATATAAAGGATCATTTCCATGGTTCTGCATGTACTTGTGAAATAACAGAAAGAGAAGGGGTGGCCCATGGAATCTGTCTTTCCTGGAGCAGAGGGCAGTCCCCTCTCCTCTTAAATGATACAATAACTAAAACTGGTGTTCTCTTTCCTCTTATCAGTAGTTTGATCCCAAGTATTGGATGTGTTTGCTTATCCTGGTATCTTAAAGGAAATCAATCTTTTGCTTCAAAATCTTCTAAGGATTTTATTAGAGCTCTGAAGAGTTTTTACTGAGCTGTCTGACGAAATCTTTCTTCCTGCTGAGTGCAGCTGCTTTGTTAGATTACATACAGATCAGTGAAAGCACAGTTTGCCAGCTGAGCTTTGCTTTTGGATACTCAGGAAAAGAGTAATGGAAATAAAGTTGGCTACGTGTTTTTCAGCATAAAATAATGTCTGTTGCATTAGCTAATTTCCTTCAGGTGTAACTGAGATGGACCTCTGCACTTAAATTGACCGATTGACCAAGGTATGTATCAGTTGTTCAGAGTGGTGGTTACCATACTGTGATTTCAGGCTCACAGCAGCTGTCCATAGCATCTTTCAGCAGGTTGCATGTTCAGAAGTGACAAATGCCCAGTCCTTGCAAGATATGCTTGACATTGTGTATTAGGGAAGGACGGAGGGGGTGGGGGGCAGGAGGCACCGCGATGTTCCTACCACATTTTTGGCATTTATTGTAAAAGAAGGCAAAGCAAAACTTCAAAACTGTGCTGAACTCACAACTGTGGGTGTTGTGTTTTTTTTGTGAACTCTGATCTTGTAAACTTAAAACTGATCATTTGTTTTACGTCACATGGGCATGTTTCTTTGGAGAGCTCTGAGGTGGATGCATGGGAATTTAACAAGTTGTGCAAAAATATTCTAGCAGTTACATTCTATCTGCTCTTTAGGAATTTACATCTAAAACATACATCTACCTGTTTTTGGAAATAACTATGTAAGTGAGCGACAATGCTAATCCAGGAAGCATTCCTACATGATACCAGAAGAAAGAAGCTACAAGAGATTTACTGATACTGCAAAAAACTGAAAGAAAGGGAGGGGAAAGGAGGCCAGGAGGGAAATGTACTTGGCCGCTGTTCAGTAGAAACTGCTGCTGAGCTCAAGTGTCTCGTCTGTGTTGAATTACATTTTGCAGCAAAATATATAATGATTTATCTCTTGGTTGTATGTATGTGGTTTCAATAATGATACAAAGGGAAGCTATGAATTACACAGTGCTCTCTGAATTTATGAATCACTGCTTCAGTCCGTTAAAATTATTTCAAACATCCTTATATCCAAGCAAGCTCTTAAGCTGGTGTGTATGTAACTTCAGGGCTCTAGAGCATTGTCAGGTTAACTGTACAGGTTTAAATTTTAGACACAACTAAGAGCAGAAAATATATGATGAAAGTGAGTGCACTCCATAATGCTTCTGTGAAGTGCAGAAAAGATTTTTGTTTAGTTTTGGTGGAGTTCATTGTATATTTATACACTGAGGGCTGTCCAGAGATCTCTAAATCCTGCTCATGTGGGCTACTGAACCACACGATAACTGCTGTAGAAATCTTATTTACAGCCTCACCATAAGTGTGTTCATGTTATTTTTTCATATAGATGTAATTCTTCCAAGTTTTTTTTATCCTCACAGACGTTAAGTGGTCATTGCAAGGGAAGCCTGCATTGCAGTTGAAGTCAGGATAATGTCATGACAACTGCAACATGTTTTTGACATGAGATGCTGGTATTATATTTGAGGAGATTAAATCTTTTTCATGCAGTAGATAAAGACTGGAAACAGTTGCAAATGGCATCTTTTGAATTATCATATATTTAGCTAAAATGTAACTGAAATCCTTTTCTAATTAAGAGTTAACCAAACTTTTATAAGGTTACGAAGTAATCAAGTTCTTATCAGTTTAGACTTCCATTGATGGAAACATAAAATTGCCTCATATACATAGACATATCTATATAGATATATCTATATATAATATAGAAAGAAAAGAGAGATCAAAGCGTTTTATAGTCTGAAATCACCAGTTTCTTCCCTCTGAGATGTTTAGGTGCAGTCATTGTGCTATAATGGAGAATCAGTAATTGCTTGCTTTGCTTCCAGGCAGTGATAGCTGAGAGGTCTCTCACGGCCTTTATGCCAAGGCTTTACACTTCAGTTTTCATTTTAACATCTCAGCTATCAGCCCCTTCCCTGCAATAGCTGATGTCCTTAACCTGCCTGGCTGGGTGTTAAGCACTAGCAGGAGTTGCACCTGCCCAGATTCCCCCACTTTCTTAGGCTTCTGTGTT